CTACATAAATACGCAACACATACACTTACATATACATTAACTCATACGCAAAATGTATCTTAACAACAAAAAACAAACATACCAGCCAACAACAACCACCCACAACGACAAACAACAGCAAACATCGGTGCAACTAAAGCAGGCAATTAAATTGTTTTTGCATTTTGTATGCATTGCCTTGCGGTTGTAGCGATCGTGGCTGTAGTGATGTGGTAGTGGTAGTATTGGCGGTAGCTGCCGTGATGGTAATAGTAGTAGTAGTAGTAGTAGTAGTTGTTGTTGTTGTTGTTGATGTTGTTGTTGTTGTAATAATACTAGTAGTAGTTGTAGCAGGAGCAGCAGTAGTAGATTTAAGTGGTGGTCTGGTTGACGGTAGTGGTAGAAGTTGTCTTAGTAGTTGTGGTAGTTGCGGTAGCGGTCGAAAGTTCTTCAGCGTCCAGTGCATGCATAATAGATGAGCGTGGCTGTTGCACCGATTGACTACCAGCTTGCCTGCGCTCTCACCCTAATTGTTATTAACAATTCCTTCTCGCACAATCCAATCAGTTGAAAAATTTTTGTTATTATCAATATTTCAGCATCATTATTACCATTCATGAAAACATTTTCTAAAAAAAATCTCACATCTTATAAAATATATTTAATGTGTGAGTAAGTTTGTGCCTGCCTGTAACATATATGCCTGTACACTTAAGCATAGGTACATACGGCACACCCACAAACAACGTAAAACACAACACACACACATACACAAACACACTCACAAACACACACGTACACATACACACGCACACATACACACATACGTACACATACACACACGTACACACAAGCACGCACACACACATGTCGCAAAGCTCCGTTGGTCTACGCAGAAATGTAACTTCAAAGAAATGATAAACTTCATGTTTGGCGGATTCTGCGGTGTTGTTGTTGTGTCGTTGGATGAAATGTTGTGTTAATGTGCTTTTGTGCTGTTGTATGTGTGATTTCGTGGTATTGTGCGTGTGATTTTTTGGTGTTGGTCAGGTGTTTCGATATTTGCGATAAATTTTCTAGTTGACGTTGATGTTGTTGTTTTTGTTGTTGATGATGTTGTTGTTGATGATGTTGTTGTTGTTGATGATGTTTTTACTGTTATTTTTGTCTTCTGATTTGATGCTAAAGGTTGTTGAACTAAGGATGTTTTTGATGTTATTTTGACTTTTACTGCTTATGTGCTGGTTGCTTGAGGTGGTTGCATTAAATATGTCATACAGAATAATGTTTCGTATAAACTTGTAATAAAATACAAGATGAGAACTTTAAATTTTAGTGATTTTTAAATAATATCCTCGTTAAATCATAAATAAATTCTTGAAAATAATCATAAAAAATAGAAGTCCACGCCATCTCATTGCTTCAATACTGTTATATATTTTATTTTCTCGTGGCTCGGATCGTCATTCTTGTCTGTGAACGACGTTCGCTTGACGAACGCTCCTTAACTCTAACCATAACCAAACTCTGGCGATAAGCAGCCCACAGTTAATACTAAATATCACTACAAACCTAGTTAGCTTTTTATTTATTTATAAAAACAATTTATTGATTATAATTTTTATTTATCCGAAATAGCTTAAGACCAAAAATCTTTGTGGAAGATGAGGCTTGATGGAGCAGCACGTTGGCTGCCTCTATCAATGCTGATTTGCTGGTTGGCTGGTTGGCTGATTTGCTGGTTGGCTGGTTGGCTGATTTGCTGGTTGGCTGATTTGCTGGTTGGCTGGTTGGTTGGGTGGGTGGTTGGGTGGTCTTCATCATCCTTTTATTAGGCAGCTTACATCATCTAGCACAAACACACACACATACATACACACAAACACACTCACACTCATACAAACACACGCACGCAAAAACTCACACATGGACAATATTTAACATTAATAATTTAACGATCAAGCCATTAATCAATTAATTATTTCATTTTTAATTCTGGGTAAGCGAAATAAAACGTTGGAAATCAGAAAAAAAATTTAAACAACCATTTATTCCGTCTATGCACACACAGTATTGCGCTTACTTTTTTAAAATTTATTCTACTAAAACAAATTAAAATGCGAAATGAATTAATAATTTTGGCGCAGAATTCAAAAGAATGCAATCTCGCAGCAATCATGCTTTCACTTGGTAGGAAATGAAATTTGAAAAAGAGAAAGAGAGATAGGGAAGTATTAGCAAGAGCAGGAAAGGCCTGTTTCTTTCTCTCTTTCTTCCTTTTTGCCTTTTCTTCTTCCTTTCTATTTTTTTTTCATTTTTTCATTCATTTCTTTTCCGTCTCTTCCTCACTCTCCTTTTTTTGGCTTTTAGATTGCTTCAATTCCATGCCAGTGAACAGATTCGTGCCGACGACGACTCAAAAAGACAACTTCTTTGTTGCAATTGGTTCATGTTTTTGTTGTTGTTGTTTTGCTGATGTTGTTGTGCATGTTGTTGTTCTGTATGATGTATTCAGTAGTAGCTGCAACAACACTAGTAGTAGTATTATTAGTTGTAGTAGCAGTAGTTGAGGATGTAGTAGTAGTAGTAGAAGTAGTAATAGTTGCAGTAGTAATAGTAGTTGTAGTAATAATGACTACTACAGTCATTGTAATAGTAGTAGTATCAGCAGCAGTAGTAGTAATAACAAGTAGTTGTACAAATCTTTACCTTACAATTCATTTGTTATTATTTTATTTTCATTGTAATAGAGCATCAAAAATTATTTGATATTTTCTGTGGGCAAAGATGCATGTACTTGTACATAGCATGACGTAACGTTATATAGAAGTATTACACGCCTATTGCCTTCATAGACAGACCGCAAATTATTTCCTTTATAACTACAATCCAAGTCTATCCGTCCGTGCAAATCCATAAAAAGCATTGATCAAAAACGACAAAAATGAATTCTCTTTTTTCTAAACTAATAATTTTTACGGTGAGCTGTAAGGAAAATGATTTTAATGTGTTCTTAGAATGTTTTTAATTTGTTTTAGAAGTTGTAAAATTTTATTAATTGAAAAGTTTTTGTTAACAAAACTTTTTTGTATTATTTGTGTTGTTCTTTTTGTGTTGTGCGGCTTATTAATGAACAACAAGTTCAGCGTATATGTGAGAAACAAATAGTATGTATAATGATTTTTGTTGTTAGATAATGAAGAGTCAATACAAAATGATTTATGGCGGTACATATTCCAACGTAATCGATCTTACCGCTATAAATGATAGCAGACGTTAATAACGTACGAACTGCTGGGCCATCTCCAAAATGAAATTTCTCTCTTTTACTTGTTACAATTGTTACTCAAAAAAACTCGTTCAATTTTTTATAAGTTTTGGCCTACTCACAATATCAACAAACAAATTACAGAATTTTTTATGTAAATGTTTCAAAAAACTACCATACTACCAGCAAAACTACCTACAACAAACCTTAGACCAACAGCCAACAATCAGCAACAAACATTCAACAACTTACAACCCCCATTCACCATCAAACAAGCAATAGTTGCACTTCAACAAACACAGCCTGCAACACACCCACACACACACGCACACACACACACAGTTTCATCTCCAACAACTAACATGTTCCAGCTGTTCCAACATACTAATCATAACAATGTACCTGGACTCATCCATTAAATAACGTTATATTATACACACAACGCTTAGACAAGTGGAAGAAACGGTGAAAATTTTGACGCGTAGATATTTTAGCTATATCTCAATGAATTCACCATTTGGTGGGATAGCCTCACACATATATGTGATATTTTTTCAACGTTTGCACCTTTATCCAGCACAATTCAAGGTTTTATTTTTTCCAGCTGAAATATTCACGCAAGATTTTTTGACATTCCATTTCACAACTCTAAAAAAACTCTTTTTTTTGTTTTTTCCAAATTAATTCCAAAAATGATATCAACTTTTTCAGATTGTAAAAATATATTAAATGGAAATATTAACATTCCAGTTTTGAAGCGTAAAAAGTTTCGTTTAAAAAAATTGCTATTCACGATACAGAGCCGACGAACGAGTATGTACGGACGCACAGGCATGCATATTGGATAGGAGTTGCATGAATAATTGAATGCCGCAAAGTTATTACACTGAATACAATTTTAGGCAAAATATAATTTACGTGTTGTTATGTCATAAAAAATGTCATAGCAATAAAAATATTTCTCGCTATCTCATCTACAAGTATCATAAGTATTCTTCGCAGATATCATTTGTATCATTTAGACATTATTCATTTCATTATTATTTACACAATCGTCTGTCCATTTATCAATATTTCATTTTCTTCATTTTGGTCATTCTTTTTCATATATCTTCAATTATTTGTAACTCAGTTTAGAAATTTGTTTTTCAACTTATTTTCAAATTTATTATTTCATTTGTTTTTTAGTTCCAAAAACATTTCAATATTTAATTAAAATTTGCTATTTCATTACTATATTCAATTTTTAAGACATCAATAATTGATTAGTTCAAATGCTGCAGAGTTTTGATTTTTTCAACATGAATTAAAAATTTCAAAAGAAATAAATTGAACTTTAAAATAATCTTCATTTGCAGAGCTGATGTTTTGTGTGGGGCAACTTCTATGCCTCTAATTATTTTATTATTTATCCGATCCATCACAATAAAATTTATTTTAAATATTTCATTAACGAATCACCAACTTTTTTTTCTATAATGAATGAAATTGTTTTGTTTAAAATGAAGCCATCTTTCTAATAAACGTCACTATGCATCTTCATTCATCATTAAGTACAAACCCATTAATTAATCAATCCATAAACTTCCCTTTATGAAAATCCTCACTTCATCTTCGTCAAATCCACTTTGATCATTTATTTATTTATTCACAAATTTACCCGCTCCATTCATTCACGACTTCACTCACTCCATCCATAACTTCATTATTACGATGACGTCACGAAGATTGCGTGTGCCAAGTGTTTCTAAGCATGGACGGATCAGATGGGACGTTCCGGACGCCAAACTATCCCTCGCCCTATCCGCCAAACATCTCTTGCATCCTCTTTACCTTCATCGGAGATCTCCACGAACTCGTCCGCATCCAGTTTCAACGATTTGAACTCTCACCTCCAGCAGCCATCCAGAACGGGTCAGATGTTTTGTTTCGCTTGTTTAGTCATTTTTTTTGTTTTCTTGTTGTTACGGTTATGTTGTTATTTGGTTGTTGTTGTAACGGTTGTGTTGTTGTTGTTTGGTTGTTGTTATGGTGTTGTGTTACGATATTGGTGTTGTATCTGATTTGTTGTTTCAGTTGATGCGATTTTGCGACGGTGTCTTTGTTTTTGATGTTCGTTAATTGGTTGTTGTGTTTTCAAAGAAAAGTTTCATTTTGCAGCTTGTATGTCCAGGAAACAAGTTGTTGTTTGATAATGAATCTTTTTTATTAGCATTTTTTATGTTTTTAATGTTCTCTATGTTGTGTTCTATTTAATTTCTTTTACGACAATTGTTGAAGATACTTTTTCGGCATGTTGTTTCATAATTAGTGTTCATCATAGAATGTTTCGTGTTGTGTTGAAAATTTATTTTTTCAAATTCTCTAAAAATTGTGCAAAATCATCTGAAGCCGTCTTAAATTTTAGTTCATCGAAACCCTGTTATGAAAGTTTAGAATATAATATTATCCATTCCAACGCAATTTATCTAGATTGAACTTTCATATTTTAAAATTTTAATTTAACGAATCGTTTATTCAACATACACACGCACAAACACACACGCACAACACACACGCACAACACACACACATACACATACACACACATGAAACAGATGCACAGATCGCATTCGTCTCTTCCTGGACCTTGAAAGGCCTGAAATTCCGTACGACGTGAACCCAAACTTTGAAATCTGTGGCCGCATGCCAGCGAACGAAACGACCTACTTCTCCAGCAAGCGAGTCATGATTGTTGAGTTCCAGAGCGGAACACGCCTGCCATACACATTTGCTGGATTCCAAGCCTTCTACACTTTCGACAAGCAATGTATCTTTTATTATATATATAGTGTTTCGGTTTTTTCAGCCTTTGTTTGTATTTATTCATTTTATTTTGATTCGGTTACTAAATTGGTACTTTGCAGTTGCACCTATTGAGAGTTTATATAACATCGTACGTAACAAATTTTTAACAGCTGAATTTGGTGTGGGTTCAAAGAGGCTGAACAGCGAATGCACCTACTCCTTCTACAGCGGCAATATCAAAGCCAAAAAATTTAAGATATCCTATCCTGCAACTTCTGCTACAGAAACATCTACTCCAGATACCTCAGATACCATATCATCCTCACCATCCTTTTCATCATCTCTCAAATCATCATCATCCTACTCACCATCAGCATCGCATTCGTCATTTTTATCAACACCCACGCAATCATCATTATTGTCATCACCAGTATCATCATCGTCATCATCACACACATCGTCATCGTCGTCGTCGTCATCATCTGTATATCCAAGCAATGCCTTTGTGTGTCAGTATTTTTTCTACGGAGCTTCCAACGAGCGAGTCGTCATCAACTTCACGAACGTTCATCTCTCGTCATCCTCCTCAGTGTTAGTTGCCCTGAGAACTTTAATTATATGTCCGCTCGTTTGATTAGATGGCTCGATGGCCAATATCAGTAACGGTAGCCCGATTAAATGTTGTGAGATGAGGTGCGATGATGTAGCACGTGATGATGTATCATGTGATGATGTATCATGTGATGATGTATCATGTGATCATATAGCATGTGATCATGTATCATGTGATCATGTATCATGTGATCATGTATCATGTGATCATGTATCATGTGATCATGTATCATGTGATCATATAGCATGTGATCATGTAGAATGTAATTCGTCACCATGTGGCCATGTGATGTTGCTGTAACTCAGAATGTCACGCGCCACCTGATGATGTGATATTGTTGTAAATAGGAGAGTATTTGAAATGAAATGTGTTTGGCGGGGTGTTATTTCTCACGATGTTGTGGTGATATGATAATGTGATGTTAAGATAGTATTTTGATATGATACGATATGATTATGTGTGATAGTTTAATGATATAAGGACTGAGTTAAATGATTACAGAATGTTGTACAATGTTCAAATATTTTCATACAATTTGATACAATGATCTGACCAAAGGATGGGGTTATGAAATGATAATATGAGGGTATGGTGATGGTATGTTTCGTCGTGCCATAGAATTTGTTTCGCACTGTTTCACGAGAGACAAATTTGAGGTCGTTTACTTGAAAAAGATTAACAAAAATTTTGAAACAGATGAGGATTTCATTTCAATTTGATTCCACAAATTAAAATTTTGTAAATTAAAAATTCTTTGTTCAAATGATTCTAAATTAGAAATTTTCAAACAAGGCTAATGCCAATAACAGAAACTAATTTATAAAGTCATAATTCGATGATTTCATCTACGAATTAAAATTAACATAAAACTGAAAGCCGGCATGCAATATTCAATACCATTACCAGGCCCTAGCAATCACTTCGCTGATTAATAATTATTTTTAATTTTTTAAGATGTTCGACTATGTCCGATGCCAGACCTGGTGAATCTTACAATGACGTCATCATCGTTAGAGATATATTCAATAATACATCTATGTCTTCATCGTTCTCAGCGATAAATTCATTCCAGACATTTCCATCCCCATCATCATCATCATCATCATCGACCACGTTTGGACATCATATTTCATCGTCGTCATCAACAACATCATCTCCTACAACAACAATGCCATCATCATCATCGCCACCAGCCACATCACCAATTATTGGAAAATTTTGCGGATCGTTTGCGCTGAATGGAAGGAGCATCATCCGTTCAACAGGCAGCAATGCAGTTCTTACATACTTCACAGAACACCGGAACGTCGTCGCCAGTGGCAGCAGACCTCGCTACGAGGAGAGTAGAAAAATAATGAATGGCGGGGAAATTCAAAGAAACGTGCAAAAATTAAAGTTCGTTGCCTTCGTAAGTTTTGAAGTTAGGAAAGAAGAAAATCTGCCTGCGGCTGAGAAGACGACAAAAGCAACAATAACACCATCAGCTACGTCAAACAACTCGAAAAATAACAACCGCTGGTCCAATGATGACTCGGGTTACTTTAAATTTTCTCGTCTGAATTTTCATCAAACTTTGTTAATTTTTGAAAGAATAATTTTCAAACGAGTGGTGATACGTGGCGAAAGACATGAATGTTAATATGAAGATGTGAATGTCAGGAATGTTTGTATGAAGATGTGAATGTCACGAATGTTATTATGAAGCAAATGTGTCATTAGTGGTCTTATATGATTGATAATTTTTGAGCAGATAACTTACCATATCATCGTCACCATCCTGGTATGTCGGATAATCTTTCTCTGAAGAATGGTCACAGTCAGAGCGGAGTAGCTACAGGTTACTCACTTCTATCACTAACTACCTTCCCAAATATTTTTTTAATATATTAAAAAATTAGACTACCGGATGTTAACACGTGTAAACAATTTTTCTAATGGCTATTTTTAATGAAAACTTTTAACAACAATTCGTTGGAAATGTTTTTGTGTTTTATCATACATATTTTTTAAGAAATATGTTGAACATTTTACAGAAACTCATAAAAAAAAATTCAAAAATATTTTCGTAAGAAATAAAGGCCGTCGTCTTACAAATTTCTTGAAGCGCGTTAGCATTGCATCTTATCTTGTGGTAAACATCTTACGTTTATACCACTAACACTGAAAATAGATATTTTTCATAAAATTGAACTACGACATAAATTATTTGGTTTATCGGTGCGTAAAATCCTTCTAATCCATATTTGTGTATCTGTTGGTAACTGAGGTGGACCCAGTGGCTCCCAAATTTTAACAATTTTCAAATTTCAATCTCTCCGCTCTAGATTCACCACTGGCTGGTAACGTTGGTAACTATCTATCAAATATATCATCACTTTGCGACTTAAATAAATATAACGTAAAGGTTTTTTGCTAAGTTCATCGCAAAAATTGCTGTTCATTAAAATGTGAAATATGGACAAGGTTGAATAATAAATTTTGAAAAAATCTGGCTTCTGTTCAAGATCGTTGAATGAATGTCGAATGATATATTGCGTATTAATCCCTATGTGACAATCACAACCACAAGTTGCTAACGTTGAAGTGGACGCAGATGGGACGTGATTGAAGTTGAGAATGGCTTCGAATATAATATAAAAGAAAAATGATAATTTCATTTTGCTGCTCCATGTTCTGATGAATTTGATTATAATAATGCGTACGTATATTGTTTGTTGTCTTGATGTGGAAGTTCTTTTGTTAGATGTGTCACGCATGAGTGGTTTTAATTGAGAATGCATCAATCACGCGCTCGTTTAAAATTTAAAGTTAAAGAATTGAAACTTTTTTTAAGAAAACATCAAATTCTTCATTGCATCGTTAGCGGCGACATTTTTATTACCCACCAACTTGTCGGGTTTCATTCACGGAAACCAGCTGAAAACGTTTCTTAATTGACTCCCACGCTTCAAAGCCAGTTTGGGGCTTTACTTTCAAACGAATGTTAAATGAAATTTGAAAAAAATGACCCAAAGTAATAAAATTTTAAAATAATGAAATTTTTTTAAAATATAGTTTTTGGTAGGCTAGGTGCAAAAAATCGTTCGTCCATAAATGGAACTACGGAAACACAAAAATGAACTAACAAAATGAATGGAGTTGAAACCAAATATTTATTTACAAATATTTCAAAATATTGGACGCGAGCCATCGGAAGTTAATAAATTTTTGTCCTTCACCTTACACCATCAAGCCAGAACCCAAGCACAATTTGTCCGTGCAAGATGTTTGTGCGTATATGCAAATGTAGGTACATAACAGAAAAATCGCGTTTGTAAATTCACTAGAAGACCAAAAAAATAACACAAAAAAATAAAGAATAAATATTATTGTAATGTTAACTGATCATAACTCTTTAAAAAATGTGATTAAGTTTTTAACTTATGTAACGAAATTTTTTGCCCAGAAACACATAGGTACGGCCAGATGACCCTATACAACATAAGTGAGTAGGAAAATATTCATTTTGGTGAAATTAGGTTTTCATTATTTTTGATAGTTTGTAAATCATGCCATGAATATAAATAATAATAGAAAGTTTATCTCCAAAAAGATTTTTCCCAATAGTATTATAATATCACATGATAAACAACTCCTTATTTATATTTGTTTTAAAAATAAATTAATGAAAAAACTAACCCATCCATTACCGATTTTGATATTAAAACGCGCAAGTTTGAGAAAAGGTTAAAATATTATCTAAATAAAACATGGAAGCAATTATGTTGACAAAAGATTGTAAAAACGTGCAGCGAAATGCAACGGGACAACAACGAGCAGCGAGTCTCATGAAGGATTCATCACCAGTCCCGGCTATCCCACATCATATCCATCCACCTACACAACCTGCTTCTATCACTTGCAGGCCTCGGACAAACAACAAATACTGCTGACCATTCATGATTTTGACCTCAACTTCAACCATTCCAGCCATCTTCTTGGCAAGGATCACTTGATGCACGAGTATGTTATAAACGAAAACTGATTTATTTCTCTCTGTAGATTTTCCGTTATTTATTCTGTACATTCTGTTTAAATGTTTTCATGCACTAAATTTTAACACCAAAATAATCTTTAGACATAAAATTAAAAACCAGAATCCAAGTTTTCAAAACTTATTCAACACAAAACACAACAAAGTTACCGTTAATTCAAGATCTGAAAACAGTTTTCTAGAAGCATCTCCCATCACACAGATGTGATGAAACGGACAGTTTGCAAATCTTCACATCGGATAGTATGAACACGACGGCAGCTCACGAGGTGGGAAGATTTTGCGGAACGAAAAAATCCGTCCTCATGTCAGTCATGCCTCTCATGACTCTCCTCTTCCGATCGTTTGGTGTGAAGGCCATACCGGCCAAACAACACAGAGGTTTCCAAGCTCAATATTTCTTCATCAGAGGTTTGTTGAAACCATTCCTGCCAATATTACATCAACTTTTCAAGTTTTAAAAAAAAATTTTTCCTTTAAGTGCGTAAGAATTTTATGATGTTTTTTAACGACTGATTTATAATTGACTTGATTATTTGAATGATTATTTTTTGGAATTTTTTTTTTTCTTGAAAGATTTCGCCACGAAGTCAGGAAGACAAGTTGTTTCAGGAGGTTGTTGACACCTTCAAACATTACTTCACGTTTTATAATAAATTTTTTCATTCAGAGTCACGCGATAACATTAATGGATAATGTAACGAATTAATTTTTAAAATAAGTGCTTTCAAAACATTTATTCATCCTTCTACTGAAAAAAATTGAAAATTTCGTAGAATGTTCATTCACATATCGAAGTTTGGATTCAAGAAGTGGCATCTTCCATTCGCCAAACTTCCCCCACCCATATCCCCGCAACCTCACCTGCCACTACAAATTCATCGGCCGATCAAACGAGCACATCGTCATTGTCTTCAGACACGTCGATGTCGAAGGAGTCATGCCAAAGTTTGCTACCTACCACATTAAAATTTCTGATCACTAAAGCTTAAATTTCTAATATAATTTTTGTCAGCTGCAGTTCAGACACAAAAAGCGATGTAATCGAACTATCCAACTACAACTATCCTCTGGCCGACAGCAAGCACAGTCCGCTCTGTGGCTTGAAGAAAGAATCCAGCCGAAACTTTGAGAAGAAAATTTACAAGTACGAATCAGATGGCAATTTTTTTCGAGTCACTTTCAAAGCGAACGACGCATACGAAGCTTCTGGGTTTGAAGCATCGTACAAATTCTATTTGAAGGACACAAGTTCGTATACAAATTTAAAAGAATCTAACAATCTAATTTATCTATATTTAAATAACGTTATATATTAATTTAAAATCTTTAAAACATTGAATTAATTTCAGATTCGCGAATATTCGTGAAGTTGCTATCAAAAAGTGGAACAAGAGAGTTCGTAGCAGCATTACGCCAACACGGCTTATTGAACATTTTCGTTATTTTTGTACTCGTTCTCAATAGGTAGCGTCAGACTACACGTATGCGTGTATGTGCATTAATTAGTCTCTATGTACAGTTTCTAAAAGTAAAGTTTCAAGTACTTCTACATCTAATATTTTGTGGTGAACATCGTAAACTTGTTTCCATAATTTCAACAAACTGCCGCGTGCCACACGTGACTGAAATGTTAAAGCGCGCCAAAAATAATTTGTAAATATCAATAAAGATTAATTTATTTTTGAATATTTAATTTATTTATATTCTTCACTCACTCACTCACTCTTTCACTCACTCACTCATCCATCCATCTTTCGTTCATTCATTTGATTCTTTATTTATTCTTGTGTTTGTTCAATTTATTAATTAGAACCATTTAATAATTTCTTCATTCGATTAATTTATTCATTCACATTCACAACATTAATGACATACGAAGCTAAGTAACTAATTATCATCAGTTGCCTGGAAGCTTGCTAGAATATTTTATAGTGATAACATTCATTATCTTAAACACTTTTTTGGAAAATTTAAATAAACATTTCGTGTGAATTTTGTATGAAAAAACACACTGGTATAAAATTTCGATTTCGATGTTATTTCGAACGAAATTCAATGATTTTTTGTTTATAAATTTTATTGAAACAATTCAAATGTTAAAAACAAGTTATTATAAGTATTAAAACATATGTTAGAAATTATTATAAGTCTTAAAACATATGTTAGAACTCAGAGTAAACACCTATCTAATTAAATCGTCCAGCCGCTATTCCAACGTTCAATCAACTTTTCGGTTGTATTATCGCATGCACTCCTTGGAAGTTCTCGAAAGAAAATAATCCAGGTAACATGAACATTTAGTAAGAACAGTTCACAGCATATTATAATGGCTAAATCAACATACCAAACAAAAATTATTTATACACGCATAGAGCAACTTTTTATTGCTATTCATAGTCGATAGTTTAAAAAAGTTTTGGGACGACCTACCCTAATATACAAAGTAAATCAAGAAGTACCAAAAATTATAACTAGAAACCAGTCAACATTTGATGAATAAATAAAGACATTATTCCAAAAATTGTTCAAAAAAGTAAAATTTATGGCGACGACGAACAAAAAATTTAGTATGTCTTGTTGGTGTGGTGGTGTGAAGAAAAACAAACACAGTAAAAAGTCCTATGAATAGTAGTCATTCCCTTACCTATAATTAAATAACTCTCAGAGCCTATAATGATTAACTCATCTCACCTACTCACAAATTTGTATTTCTGAGTTTTAAAAATTTTACATGTTTCAGGTATTGTATTTTTCATATTTTAACGTTTTTAATTTACCTTTTTTGTGAACTTTAATTTTTTTAATATTTTCTAGGTAGAAACTTTTTAACTAGTGTTAAGCCCTAACCTACCTGCGATTGTCCAACTCATCTCAATCCCTAACTTACCTACGAATTAAATCAAAGTCCGGTAAAGAAAATAGCAAGTTGAAGTGAAATATAACAACAACGACAACACCGAAAAATGGATGTTGTGTGTGTATATGCGTGTTGTATGGATGTTGTGTGTCTATATGCGTGTTGTATGGATGTGTGTGTATGTGTGTATATATATATATATATATATATGCGTGTTGTATGGATGTGTGTGTAAATGTGCGTGCGCGTACTCTCCAGAAACTTCTTCACTACGGACGAACCTCCATTGCACCGACCATCATCTGACACGCATCGCGAATTTGACCGGATACTGAAAAAAAAATTTTTGTAAAATAAAAACCAAGCCATTGGAAAAAGCAATAGGCAACTTTTCTTATTGGAATAACAATCCACTCCAATCCCCCCAAAAATCGTCGTTATCATCTTCGAATTGTCATCGTGATCATCATGACACCACCATCTGAAACGTGCTGACGCTCACCGCAGCCCACCTCTCATCATTCTGTAGACAACATTCCCTCCAACGATTCCGTAACAAATTCTCCACACTATTTATAAAATTTTCTTTGATGCTTTTTAATCAGTCAGGTCACAATCATCATCGTTGATATCCCAATGAAATCAAATTTTCAAATTTAAAAAAAAGTATCTTTATTCATTTTATGATACTTATGTTCAATAAGATACTGTTTGATACTGTACTATCAATTAGCCAGTCAATCAACAAATAAATCAATTAATCAACCGCTGAATCAAATCAACTGACCAAACAATCAATCAATCATTTAACTAACCAATCAAACAATCAACTAATTAAACAATAAGCCTTGAATTATGTAATTTGAAATTATTTTTGTCAATTTTAATGAAAATATTGCAATTTCGTAGTTAAGCAAACCTATGGCTTTGTTAAGCGTTAGTTATCCACCGTGCTTTCGAAACGAAGAGCAATAATTTCATTTAAATTGACAAAAATAATTTCAAATTACATAATTCGGTTTAATTACAATGTTTTAAACATATTGAGTCAAATATATAATTAGTATAAGTTATTTGTTGAAACCCATGCACTTTCGTAAGTAATCCCACCATGGCTTCAGTAAGCCACTCGGTTTTCTAAACGAAAAGCAATTATTTTATTTAAATTGACAACGACAAATATAAAAAATTCAATTTAATTATAATGTTTTTAAAATATTTTGTAGTCAAGTAAATCTTTTGTTTTAGTTGTTTGTTAAAACCCATGCAATTTCGCAAGTAAACCAACTAACTTTATTTATTCAAATCTCTGCTGAAGTAATTAGTGGAAGCAGCTCGTTTGGCTATATCAACGTAGACCCCAGAGAGACTCAGCTATGGCCATTATATACACATAAATTCTCACACACGTACATACAAAATTTTTTAATATGAAAATTTTAAAAAATTGAAAATTTAATTTTGCGGGCTGTTTTTTAAACACATACTCACTCACACACACAAACACACACACACTCACACACACACTCAACACACACACGAACAGATGTTGATAACTGATAATTATTTCCATATTTTTATAAACGACGATGCATTCTTCATTTTTATACAAATTCTTAGAAAACAAAATTTCACATAAAAACAATTTAATAAACCGAGGACATGATATTAACAATATTGTGATCGTTGTTTGTTAGCCGAATTGAAAAAAACTTCATCGAATTAATAAATAATAATTATTAATTATTAATATTGACGAGTTGATGAACAGAGATTGGAAAAACAAAATCGGCCAAAAAGATAAAAAATTTGACTGTAGAGGAAAGAAATGAAACCAACCGTGATTGAACAAATGAAGAAATATAATAACAAATATTGGCAAAAAAGCAAAAATATCGTTGCACGGATACGGAATTGAATTTGAAATAAACTCTGGTTAAGCCAGCACACGACATCGATACCCATTATATGTAATACATATTATACTGTATAATTAAATGGTTATAAATTTGCATTCATATCAGCAAATAAGGCGACACTCATTACTACACCCTACATAGTATAACAAATGGATCGCCGGATAAATGTATTATTATCATATGGATACTACAAAAATTGTGATTACGTATAAAATTGAATGAATCGGTTGAAGATGATTTACTACCAATAAGAAGCGAGGAAACATTTTGGCATGAAAGTAGTTTCCACGTTTTTGTTTAAATTCAAGATGAACTTTTAAAAGACATCGGAAAGTGCACAAAGATGTGTGACAGTTAAAAACAAATTTAACCCTAAATACAGTCAGTACCTCATCTGCTGAAGCCATTTGAAGCGTGGCAATACTCATTGCTTACATTTTTAATCCCCTATTTATAAAATAAAAAATATATATATTGGAAGAATAAAATGAGCTAATGACTAAATGTACATAGCTAAACAATATCATACAATAAATATAGTATATATTACCAGAGCAAATGATTTTAAAATAAAATTTTAAAAAATGACTTTTCTACAAGACGCGCCGAAGTTACGTGAATACTGTTGTTCATGCGTGCAAGCGTACTTCATTTAGGTAAGTTAAGATGCAAAACTGTCATAACAATTCCAATGCCGATGACTGTTAGGATCAACAATATACTTAGATAATGACGGCAGTGGCGTAATGACGAATGAGCAAAAATTGACAACTCATGATTGTTTAGCACGTGATACATAGTCAACATGAACAAAACACACTTAAGACAAATTGGGTTTATTTAATAATACTGCTGTCCTGGAATATAAAATCTTTGCCCATGATATCTCATAATGTTATATAAAAATAATTTCAATTGAAAATATGACGTGATGTGACTGATGCAGTTTCTCCGTAGTGACGCAACACGTCCGTCGGGAAAAAACAAATTAAAATTGAACTAAGTAAAATAACCATGAGATAATGATTAGTTCAAAGAGAATCTCATCATTAACCATTACTTGACATCAGTAGCTCAAACATCGTTATATGGAGTCTACAAAAATGTCTATAGGCCCCAATCATTTGACGACCCTTTTGGAGTTTTTGAGAAACTTTGTCATCTGGTTTGGTTCGTAAACAATGTTAAAGATGCAGAAGAGAGAGAGCAGTCCCATGAACGACGAGCAGACGATATAGGCGAGGACGCTTCCGCAGTGCTGCACGATGTAGCCCATGAAGCCGGTCAGCATGACTTGTGATAAGAAGTAGGCACTATCCAGGATCGACAGGTCCGCTCCTATGCCCCTGTACGGTACGATGCATCCGTTGTGCGTGTCGCAGAAGTACACCTGGTCGTTTACAAAATTCTCTTCGTTTAAATGGATTCATTTTTGAAAAATATAATTTTTTTATTATTTTTTATTGAATTTTTATTTCATATAAATTAAATTTGAGAAAAAAAACCAATACTCCGCAGTAGTTAATGATTTTCTGCCAAACCTATAAAAATAATTGTTTCTTTATCATGAACAGGTAGACACACAACTAAACATCTATTTATAATTCAATTTTTATTTTATCTTGAACAAATATAAAATGTTTATGACCTTTTATTTAAAGTACATTTCAAACAACTTGAGAATGAATGTTTAAAAGCCATTAAATATTGAATTACTTGCTGATTAATTAATTAATTAATTAACACTGAGACAAACCAATTAAGATACATAGAATCATATACGTGAAAGAGCAAATAAATGAACCAAAATTAGACATATTTTCGTAATTTATTTTTTATTTTTGTATTAAAAAAGTTATTAAAAATGTATTGATAAAATTTAGAATAATTAATTTGAAATGAATTACGAAGTTGTCTAATTTTGGTTGAAAGTTGTTACAAGTTACATTATTTTATTTGCTTGGTAAACTTAACAAAGCAACATCTTAAACATTAGCTACCATTCCATTACTCTTTGTCACTATTTATAGCCAACACACTCCAACTAAGAATCCTAATTCATGAAAAAATCCTAGACAGACAACTGCTATTTGCCAAGCCTTAAACAAACCAATTGAAAACTATGATTACTGTAGATGTTATAGATTATGTATAGGTAGGTTAGGTACATTATAGGTATATTTTGTTAAAAAATTATATATAAGCCAAATTTTGGTGTCTGGTAAGATGTAATAAACAACCTACTTGAGATGTTCCGAAAATTAATGGTTCCGAAAATTAACGGTAAGTACTTGGTGGTTTTTAAAGTAATACAATTGGATACACTTAACGAATCTACCTACAGCAAGAATGCAAGTTATGTAGTGTTGGTGATGTCAGGCTCTTGATAACATCAAAAACTAAAAAGATGAACTTTCATCATCTTCATCATCGTGATCCTTGACCACCCTTATTACAATCGTCATCAATATCAGTCATCATCAATAAGTTTTGCAGACTTCAGATCACATTGAAGTTGGATGTTTTAATAAGAAATATGAATCGTAAAGTACTGAACCAAGCACAATTTTATGGTCGTAAAAAGAAATAGATGATGATAGGATAATATGCATTTCAATCATAATGTAAATATTATTTTTCAATTGATTGTAAATTGTAAAAATAAAATACATACAGACAAAAATAACAAAAAACTGAAGCAATCATTTGGAAAAAATAACAGACAGTCACTCAATTCTTTAAACATACACGAGAGGAAGAAAAATAATCAGAGAATATTCATAAACAATATTCAGAAGGACAGATGAATCTCATATCTGTATCTGCAATGTTGGATGAAACTCATATCCGTATCTGCAATGTCTACTCTACATATAACAATATGCTTCAGCGAAATCAATAGCAAATCTTTAACAGGTGCTGCATGTAGCCCATTGATTTATTTTATATCCCTACAATCTTCATAACAATAATTTTCTTTTACTAAACGTTTTAATGTCTAATGGGAAAATTTATTGAGACGAGAATTTTACACAAAGTAACTAAACTATAAAGTGAGAGATTGGATCGATTTAACATCTCCTAACATAAAATGTATGAAAAAATATTTTTTGATACGTTACCTGCTGATGATGAAGTACAAAAATTCTACTGCATTTCTCAAATATGACAAAAAACAATTTAAAGTGAAATAGCATTAAAAGTTGTTTTAGAATTTAAAATGAACGAAACAAAATGATGATAAAACTAACAAATACCAACATCTGAATTGTCATGATAAGCAGTCAAGAGTAGGTAAGGCACAGTGGTAAGTGTTGCATATCCGAAACCTGTACATGTGGCGCATATGTTAGCCAGCCAAATATCATTGGCAAAGAGCATGATAAATAGAGAAACAGTAAATGAAGCCATTCCAATCAAGTAAGTTTTCTGTAAGTTTAGATTAGAAGCAATCCTGTCAATAAAGGTGGAGTAGATGGCTGACAGTATGCAGTGCCATAGTAGTCCCCAACTACCCATCCTCACACCCTCATCATACCAGTTTCTAAGTTCTGAATCTTCAGGTGCATTTGGGTCCCCCTTGTAAATGCTCTGACCGATATAATCGGTGTAAAACAAGTTGAAAATCATAACAGCTGTCCAACTGCAAAAGTTGGCCAGAGCAAGTTGACGCAGAACATAAGGAATGTTGAATAATCGTTTCAAGACAGTAGGCAACATGGAATAAGATGTTGAAATGATATGTTGCTTTAAATTTGTTAAATTGATGGTAGACCATTTAGTGAATGGCACGCTTATTGTAACATTGAATTCAAGTGAGTCTGCATGATTTGAATCTTCGTTGGCTGGTTCATCACTAACATAACCCAGATCTGCTGGCTTCATTGATGAAATTGACATTTTTTCTGAATTTATCTTTAAAATATCTCGTAGAGGGATTTCTTTTGCAGTGTTGAACGTTAGGAACATGCTAATAATGTACATGATGATGAGAGTGATGAAGATGCAGTTCTCTTGCGTGCCAAAATAGGTTCCAACATAACTGCCACTCCAATCAAGAGCTGTGATGAGGTAACCAACACAACCGCCAAAACTGATCATGAATGAATAAACAGTGAAACACTTCCCATGCTGGTCAGTATCTTTGCTCAGATCTGATAACAGTGCCTCACATGGAGTTAAACAAACTTGACATGTGAAGTCTAAAAACACAGAACCAATCACAAGGAAAAGAATGGTTGTGAACCGACCCACTTCACCCCCACCAACAATAACTGTCCCTATGTACTTGGCTGTCAAGAGAATAAATAAAGAAAACAATAAAACAATACTTAAGAGCAGAATATAAGGCCTTCGTCTTCCAAACTGACTAGTACATTTATCACTGGATCGACCGATAATTGGGACCAAGAAAATGCCCATGAGAGGTCCAACCCCCAGAACCATGGACATGTACTGCTCACTGATCCCTGCCTTCAACAACATGGGAGGTATGAAGCAGAACGCAGCGCTCCCACAAAACTCAATGCCGCAAACAATAGCATTCAAGCCTAATAACTTTGTTAAACTTAATTTTGACTTGATGACTGGAAGGTCCATATATATAAAAGATGAAGAATATGAAGCTGCTGTCGACGATGACGAGGAAGATTGTGAAGTAGAAACGTGAACACCTGCCATGTTGTTTGTTGTTTGCTGCGCTGGACAGTCTGTGTTTATGTTTCTCCTCCCTACCTTTTTCGTGTCATCTAACTTGGGATGAAATATTTTTTAGTGTCATATTTGCTTCTATTGTTGTGAAGTCATAAGAAAGACATTTGAAAAAAATGTTATCAGCTAAATTAAAACATCCTGTCTTGATTTTATTATAAGAACAATTATCTAATTAATTATATTTTTAAAAAAATATACTTGAAACAATCAAACAAATTTCAATATTCAATTTAAAAAAACTACTCAATATTCAATTCAATCAACTACATTTTGACAAAATAATTTTGTTTACCTATTAATGATAATTCTGACAAAAATTCTCTTATAAAAAAACATTTTGAAAAAATTATTAAAAAACTAACCATGAGTGTTGAATTTGTGAGATTCTTCAGTCAGCATCAAAAAAATTTTTCAGGACCAAGAACTTACTACTTAATTAGCTATTATTATAATTAGTAATTATAATAAGTAATAATCATAATTAGTAAATATAATAATTATACTTACTAATTATATTATAATAAGTAGTGTAATTAACACAGTTACAATCAGGATCTGGGTTTTCATTAGTATTAAATTAAATATTAATTAAATATTCTTATTATATCCCAGTTGAGATCCAATACATCTGTATTATCATATCTCCTGTAGAAATTAATCAATAAATGATTTATTTAATTAATAAATTAATGAAAAAAACCAATGCAGTAATTTTAATCATTTATAAAAACTTTTTAGCATCTATTATTATATAAATATACTATACATGTGTAAACATACCTATACATATGTCATATACACAAGTAAATAAAATTGGATTTCAATAAATCTTCATATGTGTATAAAATGTACATATAAATATATATTATATACATTATATAGGCATATAAATACATATAGCTGTGTGGTAGAAACAGTTTATGCTATCTATATGTCATATGATGATGCTTAATTCAGTAATTAGCAATAGAATCTATTGGAAATTGTTGATTTACTCACAAACAATACAAAAGTGAACTGTAGTTAGGTTGATAATTAAAAAATATAGAATAAATTGATTAACACTAGAGTGCACAATACAGTAATATTTGTTTAAATTAATTATTTATAATAATATATAATATAATATAATTACATATTAATAACTATAGAAGTAAGAAGAAAAAGAAGACCAAGCAATATTTATTTGTACTTTTTAAGTTTTATATTAAAATTGAATTGAATAAGTAATTAATATAAAAAACTAAAAACAATAATACTATTTTAAACAAAAATCATCTTCTTAATTCTTAACATTTTTTTTATTAATTTAATTTAATGAAATCTAACCTAATCTAACCTTCCTAACTCTCTTACTTTTTCTAACTATCAATCTCTACTTAGTATTATAATTTATTTATATTTTATAATATAGAAAAAAAAGAAGACTTTATCTCTAAATCTAACATTCTAATTCTAATCTTATAGTCAATCTCTATATAGTATACTTATCCTAACACAACACTTAGCTCCTAACTTAATAATCATAAAATTAAATCCAGTGTTTGATGATGTTGAGTGTAGCTTCTGTAGCTGTATAAGTATTTTAATTGTAATTACAATTTAAGAAGTGCTAGTATGAAGTTTGTTTTGTACTAGTAACCTACTGACACTTATTTTACATAATATCTGATTTAGTAATAGAAATAGTAAAGCTCAGTTAGTGTGTTTGTTATTGTTAGTCATCATATTACAAAAAAAAATTACCCAATGAAAAAATTAATAATTAATTAATATTAAATTAAATTAATAAAGATAAGCATCACCATTTAATTGACTAGCGTATGTTGAATTAAATTATAAATACTAATAATAATATAATCATCATAATTAAAACTGTTTATTTTATTTTAATAATTAAATTATTCCATTATTATTTATAATTCAATATTTCAATATTTAAGACAACATCACACGGTGGGTGTTTACTTTTTACGTGGTATGAACACAGCTTAGAGTAAAGATATCATATATCATAGATACAATATCATTTAGTCGTATTTCAGCTTTATATCATGATCATATATATATATATAGAATATGTTATATTTTATATATATATAATTATGATGTAGTCATATACACTTAGATTATAGATCCAATACACTTTCCATTTCACTTGCCACCAATAATTTTTTTCCTATTATTTTATTTTACCTCCACTAAATGCAACTTAAACTTTTTATGTTCATATTTTATTTTCACCGTTTCATACCTTGCATGCTGTTATTTTATCTGCGATTGACAGAGTTTGATATACACAAATACACAAATATATACTGTATCCATATACTTAGGATGTTGTATCTAAACAGGGTTAAAAAAATTTTCATAAGTTAGGTTGATATGAATTTATAAAAATATTGTGCTTGATGGTGTAGGCTATCCTGTGATAGTATTTAATTTGCTTTATATCGTGTTGGCAAAAGAATATACCAAGGTTAAATCTCATGTCCTTATGTTATACCTTAATTATTATTAATTATGCACTTCCCTATTTTAAGGTTTTAATTTTTTAAATTCTTGTAAAACACTCTTACGCTAAGTTTTCTTCAGCTTTTTCAGACTTTAAACTCTAGAAGAACACTTATAAAATTTATAAGAAATCTCATGACCTAACCTAACAATGAAACACCAATGAAAAAACACTTTACAAATGAACACATTGATTGTTTGATTATTTGAATATAGTATCTTATTTTTAAGAATAATTAAACGAGATTATATGCATATAATTATGCCACTTGCTATTATTTCTTCTTCTTCTCCTTTTTCGTGCCTTATCTTTTCAGAACATTGTTGATCATAGAAGTTTTTGATAACTCTCGTTACTTATCCATCAACGTCCAAATTTTTCAATATTTCCATAAGCTCCATGTGTGTCACGCTATCGAAAGCTTTGGAAGAATCGACAAAACATATAAACAAGTCTTTCTTTATTTCAATCACTCGTTCACTGATCGTTCGTAGCATAAAGATAGCGTTTCTTGTGCCACAGTCCTCTACAAAACCACATTGGACATTTAAAATTTCAGGTTGGGTGTCCCAAATAAAGTCATTCATAACGTTAAAAATATAAATATTTCACATTATATGTCTGAATATGATTCATGACAGCGATTTTGTTAAAACTGTAACAGAGATCTTTAAAACGGTCTCGAAGATTTTTTTTTATATATAGGGATACGTATGCATCATATTTGCTCGAAGTCATGGATTTGTTTTACATTAAGTTTACAACTGTCTCTCCTATAGCAAAACCTTATCAAGAAATGGCGAACTAGGTGTTCTATATGCTTTAATTTTATTTCCTTGCCGGAAATTTTTTCACTCAAAAAAATGGGTGAGGTATAATTACAGAGTAAGGCTGGAAAAGATCAAGATCGTCGCATGCCTTGATCTAAATGTTAATCTAGTCTTTCAACCATTTTCAGCTAGTAGAAAGAAATTATTTCAAATTATTAGCACCAAGCGTTGAAGCATTATTTATTGAAGTGAAATACATGCAATGCATGCTGTAATAAGCCGAGAATTTAAATTTTTACGATTTTTTAATAAACAGTAAAACATGGCAATGTTTATTAATGACTTATAAAAATAAGCTTTAAACATCATTTCTGCAATTTTAAGATTTAGAGATATTAATTTTATAACGAAATGACTCGAAGGCTCAAATAAAATAATAATAATCAATAAAAACCAAATTTTCTATATGACTGTACACAAGTCTTATTAATCAGCAAATTGATGCTTATGTGATTTCGGCTCCATAAATATCTCTTCAGAAAGTCTCAAGTTCGTTATAATGATATTGAACCGAAATTAGCAGAGCGCATATAAATTTTTATTTTTAATGATTGAAATGTATTTTTTAATATAGGATTTTAACTGGATAAATATCCCAAAAGCAATAGATGAATACATGAAATGAATGACACGCTGTGGTCTCGTTCGATAAAGTACCAGGGTTTGCACTCAAATAATAACATGGATCGAATTAGAAATTTAAATTTTCTTAAATAACCTGAAGATAGTCATAAAAATCTTATCAGTAAAATTATATTTTGTGCTTTACGCCAAAACATCCAAACGAATGTTGATCTAGGTACAGTTTTATGGCTCTGACACATACACAACACACAGATTTTGAATTGAAAGTTGGAACACATTGCATAGCTATCATTAAACAAACACGCCAATAAATCTATAAAGATAACTAAAGATAACTAACTACTGTTGATCCTTCCTTCGTATCGCTGGGTTAAGAAAAAATCTTGCAACACCAACATTTTAATTGAAGTATTATTGAAGTAGCTTGCCTGCTAGAACATAATGCATGTAACATAAAGAATGTAGTACAGTAAAAGTCCTCTAGAGAGGACACCATTGGGGAATGACCGAACTGTCCTCTCATCTTAACTGTCCTCTTCTCAAGACTCAACATCAAAATCTTTTTTGATATACTACATAAAAAATTAAAATAAAACAACACGTTTTTAATATTGTTATGGAAGAAAATCATTCATAGTTGTCTGTTTGCTAAAACATTTTGTTTTTAACAATTCAATTTCTAAAATATTTTCAATGTTCTCAGAAAATTGTAACAATTCTCTATTGCCCATATGTATCGAATAGGAATGCCATCTTTTTAGAAACTTCTTGGACTGGAGCTTCTTCTTCCTCTTCATCATCTTGGACTTCAAATTGTTCATAATTCTTTATTTTCACGAATATTTGCAATTTGAGTTTTTCCGCAACCAAATTCTTCAGAGTCGACTCCATTATTACACAACAGTTTATCAACACGACCACGATAAAAAATCAAAGAGCGAAAATAATTTTTTTTAAATAACCAAAGATTATCAAAGTTTCTTCAGCGCATTCCATAGAATAAAATAAATACAAATATTCAAATTAGATGGCGCGTT